GTATTTGACTTCATCATTTGAACAAGTAAAATAGCCCTTAACCAAGAGCTCTGATACCACTCTGATGGGAAATTAAGACAAAATAACAGAACAATACATAACAGATATAATATTTCCCAAACTTGCAGGAACCTTAAGGATCAACAACAAATATAAGATCGCAACCGAATAATAAAGACACAAAAGAATATTGATATTTTTAACGTGGAAAACCCCTCAACATGAGAGTAAAAACCATGAGTCGTCCATACCAAAGAAAATAGTGAAGATGTGAAGAAAACGCAAGAAAGGGGGAGAGAGGGGTTGAATTGGGTTTTCCTTTCTTGGATAACTTTTTCTTCTAAGCATTATTCATTGAACAACGATTCTGAGTGTTACTTTTAAGTAATACTTATAATTAATTTAAGAAAACATAAACTCTAAAGCATAAGCAAAGTAAAGAACACATGGTATATCCTGGTTCACTTGAGAAACCCCTAAGCTAGTCTAGTCCATCCTTCCAAGGTGATTTCGCCTTGAACTCGAGGACTTAATCCACTATAACCAATCTGATTACAATTGCACGGGCAACCGCCAGTGACTAACATCCAATGATGCATTCAGGGATCCAAACCGGATATAACGTTCATTGACCCAATAAAATCCGATTCTTCAGAATCTCCTATCAGGATTTCCTTCCAATGATATCCATCAGTGATCTCAGAAGACTGACCTTCACTCATTCCCCTTTGAGATATAACTATCATTGACCCAATAGAATCTACTACCAGGATTTCATCTATGATGATCGCAGCCAAAGTCTTATCAAGTCTTCTGATCTTCACTCGATCACTTGAGAAACCAACCAATTATAAAAAGAATTGCTTTTGTGGAGATTACATGAGTGCTTCTTATCAAGCAGATTACTCCTAATTTAAGTACATATTATTTAACACAATTCTGAGCAATAACTCTTATGTATAAACAATTTACATGAAGATCTTAAGAAATAACACAATCTGAGTAACAACTCTTGTGTTTTACATATTTCTACAAAGATGAATATAATCTAAGTTAAGTGCAACATCTTGTAGTCTTCTTGTCTTCATCTTTATTATTAAGCAAGCTATGAGCAATAACTCCTTGCTTTTCATAATTCTACCAAGATGTATATGATTGGTAGTTTGAATAACATCTTGTAGAATTCTTCTTGTTCTTCATCTTATTTAGTTAGCTTTAACATATTTTTCATAACTTTTGTTCTTATTGTTGTTATAGTGGTTCATAACCTTTTGGTTGTGTTCCAATAGATACAAATTTTTAGCATTGAACACCAACAACTTTCATCTTGTGATTTTTCTTCGACTGACCAACCAACTTTTGAAACATGTGATTCTTTTCTTATATATCCAAGAAAAATAGAGTCGTTGGCTATTTCAAAAAGATTCGTTATAAATAGTACTACTACTTCCTTATCTTTTCCACAATTCGAGCTAGTGGAGAAGTAGTGTAATAGAGCTTTTTCGTATTGTGTACTATTGTACCATGTTACCATTATATTCTTTCCTTATGCACTTCAGAGGCTTCTGCGAGCATGAGTTTAGAAGCGGGAACATAACATAAGGTCTACAGAACTTCAAGTCTTTAGAGTCTTCAGAACTGTGTCTTCAGAGTCTTCAACACTTGGTCGTGAGAATCCTTATAGAGAACCTTTGATCAAAAAAGCTTTAAGTCTTCAGAATCTTAAGAACTGCGTCTTTAGAGTCTTCAGTACTTGGTCTTGAGAACCTGCTGTATAGAACCTTGGATCTTTTAGAACTTCAAGTCTTTGGAATCTTCAAAACTTCCATCTTTAGAATCTTTAGCACTTGAGCTTTAAGAATCCTTTTAAGAACCTTGTTATTAGAAACACAAGTCTTCAGCATCTGGACTTCAGTAGAAACTTTGTCTTCAGATCTTCTAACTTTGTCTTCTTAAAACATGTTACCTTTTTAGAAACTACGTTTTTAGTATATGGACTTCAGCAGAAATTTTGTCTTGAGATCTTCTAACTTTGTTTCTTTGGAACACATTGTCTTTAGAAGCTTGAGTCTTTATCATCTGGATGTAAGTAGAAACTTCTGCCTTTAGATCTTCTGACTAGTTTCTTTAGATAAACATCAGAGCTTACACTTCAGATTCATCTGAAGTGTCTTGCTACTATTCAACAGAACTTCTGTAGCATAGAAGCAGAATCAATTCTCTTCTAATTTCTTGGCCACACCATCCATCAGAAGTAGAACCTATTTGTTAAGTACTCAACAATAACCAACATTAGAGTATCAAAATTGTTCATACAAACATACTTATTTGTTATCATCAAAACTCAGAGATAATATTGCAGAACCAAATCTTATTATTACAAATAGCTCCACTATAATAAATTAAGGTTACAAGAGAGTCTTCAAGTGATTCACAAAATAGTGATAACAACCGCAAATCACAAAGCAAACTAACTTACAAATAAGAATAAAAAAACTTAAAATTTTCCCAAATATACAGATTTAGTGTGAGGCCGATTTCTCTCAACTCGTACCTTGTTTTAAAGATCCCAATAATCAAAAGTTAGATATATATGATACGAACAAGTCCACCAAATTTCAGCGTGATCCGACGGTAAACAAATCAGAAATCATTGTTTTAGTGAGACTGATGCAAAAAAAACGGGAATGAGTTTCTCTTCTCTTTTCTCTCTTTTCTAATCCTTATGTTATCTCTACCTCTCTTAATCCTAAATTGATATTCTCCACTTATATAAGTGATACAAATGAGCTACTCATATTTGAGTCTTTTTCCATATAGAAAGGGATCCCAAGCTCAACAAAGAGTGGCCTAAAAGTGTATATACTAAAATGAAGGTTCGACTATCAAGGGACACCACATACTCTTGATTTCCCCTAAAATATTCAACGACAACTCCTTTAAGGCCATTTTGTTTCAGACACACACTTTCTAGTCAAGGTATCAACGATATTTATTGTTTTGAGAGAATCTACAGTGAGAGGTGCGACAACCATATATCATAACCTAAAACCAACATGCAGAGCGTCAAATTTTTCAACACTTGAGTGATAGGTTCAAAGGTAAACATGCTCATCATGTGTAAATTTGAGGTTTCATTTTGAGGAATGCATACAAGTGTTGGAAGCCCCTAATGTAGGCCTAAGAAGAGGGATAAATTAAAAAAGGATCCAAAAGTAGAATCACTAATAGGTGGTGCTTAAACGCAATGAAAGGAAGTTGTAATCCATTTTTGGGAAGTGGGTGTCGAACACAAGGAAACTGCAACCAAACTAATTTCCCCATATACGGTCTTCTAGAGTAGAAATGACATCTCACTCAGTCGAGTTTCCAAAATGAGATTGAGCATTAGAATAATGTGACCCATATAGATCAAAATAAATTAACTATGAACCAAGATTGATAAGGTCCGCGATGTCTTTCAAGCAATACATTTCAGCTGACACAACAAGATGTTAGGGGATATTAAGGAACTTTCCCCACAATAGCCTGTCTATAAAGAGGGCCAAACCATTGTCCCTTAACAAAATGAGACTAACAACCATATTATTAATTTCTTCAAGCTCTTGATGGATGCTAAAATAGAACAGAGAGAAGGGGTTCCTTGGGAAGGAATTACCACCATAAATAAATGTTTTAAAGCATTTTCATGACAACACTCAACAAAAACAAAACAAGGTTTGCATTGACAAACACCATTTCACCCAATCCAAAAACATAAAGAAAAAAATGGCTAAATAAGAAGGATAAATATGACATTCCAAGATAAATATCATCAAATGCAATGACAAGTAAAAAAAAGCTGAAGTAAGTCACTAAATGTTGAGAAGAAAATTTTGGAGAAGCTACCCAGAAATAAATAAAAATATGTAAAAGAGAAAAAGATACAAAGACTTCTTATTTATAGAGGGTCTTTTGAACCTAGAATTCCAAAGGTAAAATAAATTTTCAAGTTTTATAAATGGATAAAACTAGTAGTAAAGAGCCACTTGGCTTCACCAAGAGAATATTTCCCATACAGAAAACCATCATATAAATATTCCATAGGTTGTAATAAACACACCTCGATTCTAGGAAAAACATTAAATGCACTTGGAACCTATAATTTATAACATCATGCCTAATAATCACGCGGCGGTGCAAAAGGACACCAATAGTAAAAAATAGATTGGCATGGATACCCTTCAACCATCCTACACGACTTTAAGGCTATGTTTAGATTGGTGGTATGAGATAGAATGGAATGAAATGAAGTTGTAACTAATGAAATTCCATTGTTAAGATTTGAAAATAATGGATGGAATGAAATTGAACATAATAGAATGCATTTAGTTTTATTCCATCCAATTCTCCATTTTTTGTTCCATCCAATTTTGGGTGTATGTGATGGATTGAAACATTTTAAATAAAATAACCAAATAACATAGTGGGATCTATATTCCATTTTACTGTGCTCCGTTTTGTTCTGTTATGTTTCATTCTGCTCCGCTCAATCATGTTCCATCAATCTAAAAATATCTTAATGAACTTAGAATCAACCAATATATGATTTTATCAGACCTGCCTTGAAGGACTATTTTTCTGGTTTATATCTAACATATTATGATGGACCAATATTACCTGACTTTAAGGCGCGAAAGTTACCCTGACTTTGAAAGCCTTGTGAATAGTTAGATCAATCTAATGCATTATAATATGCCACAAGTCTTCTTCTTTTCTTCTTTTGAAAAATAATTAAACATAAAAGAGAAATGTCTCTTATCTCGGCTCTACACGCAACGCCACTGTTCACCATTAACACTGACAACCTCTATTTGATTATGAACACTGCAACACACACCACCACCGTCCAATCTAACCCACTAGTAAACAACCGTTAACACCGACAACTGCTTCCATTTGAGTCTGGAAGCTGCAATCCGCATCGGCACCGCCCAAGCCAACTTATCAGGAAACCACCATTAACACCGACAATTGTTTTTGTATGAGACTGAACACTGCAATTAGTTCAAGCACAATGATAACATAGAATCAATTGCCACAGTTTGCCGCTGCAACATGCTATCAAAAACATTTGTGGCATGCATCATCATCAAACTCAAACGACAATGTCGTTGGTAGCGAAGCAGGTATCAACATAGATGGTGGGACATTATGGCGGTGAATCGTAGCAGTGCAATATTGGAAGAGAGACGAAGGAGACAATCACATGGCTTTATAGTTTTTAATTTTCTACTTTCTTTTTTTAATGGAACTGCACACGTAGCTTAATTTGGTCCACTCGATTCATCAAATGGACCAAGAGGTTTAAAAATTACCAGTCTTTTTTGGATTAAAGGTAGGGAATTCAGATCCATATTATGATCATGCACATTGTGGGTCCTCCACAAGAACTTGTGACAAAGGCCATCAAATCCATCCAATAGGCCCGTCGAAGATCTTTTAAAACATTTTCATGTGTGAAGGACTCAGAAGGACTAAGGGCCAAGGAACAAACCATCCCTAGTGGAACACAAAAACCACATCGAAGGGAGCTTTAAGAATTGTAAGATTAAAAGTTATGGATTACTAACATCACCATGACGATGCCAGGTTGTTGGTATCACAACTTTTGAGTTTTTATCCACAAAGAATGTTCACGTATTATGGGACCTAAGATATACATATTTTAGAAGGACATCTTATCAGAGCAATCAAAAGGCGCATAACCATCCGATTGTACTTGTAAGAAATTCTTTCACATTTGTCCTCCCATACAGATGTAAGAGACATAAAGTCGTACATCTTTATAAATTCTAGAATCCCAATATATAATTCTAACAAAGATATTATATTCAATTACACGTTATTCTTATCCTAAATACCTTTTATTTTATGTCATCACTTACTTGGATATTAGAGTGTATTCAAGTATCCCTCCGGCCAAAACTTTAAAACACTAAATCAATCACTAGAATGAATTTGATTGAAATACATAGACGGTGTAAAATAATTACACGGTCAGTTAATCACAATCGTTAACTAGTTTGAATTATTTGATTTTTATTTTAATTTCTTTTAAAATGATATAATTAAATAATAAATTTTTATTAGATGACAATATAAAATAATTTTATATTGTCAATGTACTATCTTTTAATTTAAAGATAAATGGTCTATTTCATACTTAGAATTAAATTAAAGTCCATATGGTAATATTCTTACCATTTGTCTTTTTAGGAATTGATTCAAGTATACATCTTAATACAAATTTCCTCCTAAAAGCAAAGTTATGTGTCAAACATAAAAGAAAGTAAAGTCAAGTAAAACTCACTTGAACAACATCTGCTGCTGCATATCCTGCAGCTTGACCAGCCATAAACTGAAGTCCATTCCCAAATCCACAAAGGAGACCAGCCAACAAGGCCAAACCTCTACCATTCCAATCTTCCAAATAAGCTTTCAATGATGACTTGGGTAAGTTTAACATAGGGTGGTAGAGAAAAATGATGTTTAGAATTATTCCAATAACAAAACAAGATACTGAAAAATAGAAAAAGGTTGTATAAACACTTAAATGGGGAACCTCTGTCCTTAAAGTGTGATATTGGTCATTTGTTGCTAAATTGAATAATGGTGAGAATAGAGAGAAGGAAATTCCTGCAAAGAAAGTTATAGCCAACCCAATAAAAGTGCTCTTTCCACTTGCCTTAATGGATCTTCTTTTTTCAAGTTCTAAGAGAAAAATTGCAGTTCCTGCTTTAATCTTGTTTGAAGGATCACTTCCATTCTCTACATCTTTCGAACTAACTGTTTATGTAAAAAGAAATGAAAAAGACCAATATTTTTTCAAGTATGACAATTACACAATGTAGACAAATATTCTTACCTTCACTTGCAAAATCTTTGAGCTTAGCTTGATTATCAGCAATATTTGATGAATGAACAATAAAGCCAAGACAAACTGCAACAAAAAAGCAACCAACTCCTGGGAAAAGAATCTTAGCTTTATTTATTTTATCATCCAAAAAGTAGTTCAAGATTGTTCCTATCACATAAGCAAGCAAAAAAAAGTTTAGTAAAAGCAACAAGAAAAGATAGAATAGAACTATGAATAAGAAAGGTATATGAATTGAATGAGAATGAGATACCTATAACAACAATTATGCTTGATGTGATTACTCCAGCAACTGATAAACCGACAAAAGCCCAAACATATTGAGAAGACAAATTTCCAATGCTGAGGACAACCCCTCCAGCCATAGCAAACAAAACAGAAGGCAAGTTGTCATGTATCTAACACCACACCAAATTAATAAACAATATTAGTATCCAATAAATATGATATTCAAAAGGTTGAGCATGGGAGAGAGTGGATAGACACACCTGAGAAAGCTGTGACAAGAAGTTTGGGTCATGAGTGCCTATTTGACCAAAGGTAAAAGCAATAATAACAGCAGCCAAGAGATTGGTGATGGTGTAATCAAGGTAGGTATGCTGAGGAAGACGACCTCTCCTTTCTAATAGATTCATAATAGCAGGCCAAGTCCCTAAGAAGAACAAGGAAAGCAGCATGCATACTAGGGCACCTCCTTTGCTCTCAACCTGATACATTTTTCAACACACTAAGCAATTTGCTATACTATGTGATGAGAAATCAATGCACTGAAGTGAAGATATGTATACTATCTAGAAGAGCCAAAGGGGTATATAATAATATCAATACTCAGTAGCAATATGTCTTTAAGGTTATATGTGCGGGCAAAAATTATGACTAGGTGGATGTTATTTAATCAAATTATTTAGGTGAAGTATGTACCAATGTTGTCAATTACTCCTTCTAGTTTTTTTTTACGTTACTTTTGATCCTTTCATACATATTAAGAAATATAATTAAGTTTATATAAATAAGAAATTATTTGAATTATTTTATAAAATTATGTTTCAGTAGTAGTATTAGAAATATAAATTAAAAGAAAAAAAATAAAAAAAAATATTAAAACATTTGCATTTTATTTCTATTATAAAACGATTTATAATTTAGTATTAATCCTTGTTGAAGAATGAGATGGGTTACTTTTAATAATTTCTTTCTTTCCAACCAATTTGTTTTCTTTTACAAGACCTAAAACTTGTTTATGGAATTCGAATTTTGTTTTACTCAACTTAATGGGGACGTTTATTGACTACAAGAATACAGAATTAAATGAGATATTTTTCTCTAAAAAAATCATAAATTGCATGAGGTATAATGTTGAAATATTTTTTGATATTATTTTAATATTTTAATAATTATTACGTAAATATATATTTTATGTATATTAGTTATTTTATTAAATTTGTTAAGAGTTTTTGAGTAATTTAAGTGTTGTAACCAATTAATACGGACGTGTAAGATCCCTCTCGCTCTCTCTTTACACTTTAACCCACTATTGTTCACCAAGAGTGATTTTAAGTTCTAACACTTGGTATCAGAGTCTGGTTTGATCCATCAAACACTTAGTGTGCAACATGAATTCTGTCTTTAATAGGGGTGTTCGCGGTGCGGTTTAGGCGGCTTTGATGATAAAAGTCATCCAAACCGCAAGAGGAAAAAATGTGTGGTTTGGTCTGGTTCGGATGACTTTTAAAAAAACTGGACCAAACTAAACCAACGCAGTTTGGTTTGGTTCGGTTGATTCGGTTTTTTGCAAATATTTTATTGAGCCATACATACATATATAGGTGACAACATAATTTTGTATTTAGTCATCCATACACTACCAAATAACAACAAAACTCATCATATTTGGACAACAACTTCCATTTAATATGTAAAAATTAGATTAGACAAAAGTGGAATAATAAACATAAAATACTAGCATAAAATAATATAAAAATTATTATAATGAAACAAAAAAATAGCAGAGATAAGAGATTAGTGAAGATGAAAAAGAAAGAACATAAGAGAGAAGAGATTAGAGAAGAAGATGTGCGATAAAAACGAAATTGAAAGAGAGAACATTTGCATAAAATTAAGAAGGTAAAAAAGAAAGAATATAAGAGAGTAGAGATTAGAGAAGAAGATGCAAGATGTATGTGGCGAAGAAGGCGGGATAATGCTATGAGAGATTTGAGAAGACCGAAACTAAAACTATAAGTGTAAGGATGAGAAAATTGTTCGTAATCATAAGGCTAAGATATAATAGGTTAAGGTTTGGGTTGAATATGAGTTAAGTAAAATTTAGGTTGCAACATAATGCAGTTTGATTCGATTTGGTTTGGTTTGCAAAATACAAACCGCAAACCGAACTGAACCGTGCAGTTTTGTTAAAAGATGATCCAAACACATCCGAACCAAATGCAATTTTTTGCAGTTTCGATTTGGTTTGGTTCAATTTGCGGTTTTCTATTGGGTTGGTTCAGTTTTGAACACCCTTAGTCTTCAATCATAGAGCCCTTACAAACCTACCTCTCATTGATGCGAAGAATTGTGATAAATGGTGCAAGCAAATGAAAGTGTTGTTTGGCTATCAAGATGTTCTTGAAGCGATCAAGAATGAGTTGAATCCCCTTGTCGAAGGTGTAACAGATGCACAACGAAAAACACATAAGGAAGAGAAAAAGAAAGATGAAGGCACTATTTTTTATCCATCAATGTGTGAGTGGTGACAACTTTGAGAAAGTTAGTGATTATGAATTGTCAAAGCAAGCGTGAGAAATCTTGGAAAATGTATATGCATGGGCTGACAAGGCGAAGGTGGTGAGGTTACAAACTCACAAACGTTAACTCGAATTTATTCAAATGGAGGAAAAGAGACGATCAAAGATTACGTGACAAGAATTACTTGATTGGTGAACCAAATAAAGTCATATGGAGAAACTGATACTGAGCAGAATGTTGTATCGAAAGCCCTGCATTTTTTTATGACAAGATTTGATAACATTGTGGTGGCGGTTGAGGAATCGAAGGTTCTTGCAACGATCAACAAAGAGGAGCTTCAAATCCTTCTTGAAGATCATGAGAAAAGGATGAAGGAGAGAAATAACGATAAGGCAAAGGTAAATATCGCTTTGCAAGCTTGGTTTAATTAAAAGAACAAGAACTGAAAAGGAAAATGACCCATGAAGAGTAAAAGAAAATTTCATAATTTTGGTGGAAAAGAGTCTCAAAATTCAAAGAATTTGACTTGTCAAAAGGGTGAGAGCAGATGCAACAAGAATGGTGGTCAAGGAAACTTTAGAGGTGAAAAGGCTAAGTTTGACAAGATCAAGGTGCAATGCTTTAATTGTCAAAAGTCCAGTCACATTGCAAGAGAGTGCAATGCGAACAAGTAGGAATATCAAGGAGATGAAGCCAAGGTTTTAAGATAAGAGTTTGATGATGAGAATACACTCTTGATCATGATCATATAAGGTGAATGCAATAGCAGTAGGCTGCAGGACAGTAGCACTAGCAGTTCTGGGAACACTGTCGAAACTTGTTGTAATCGCTTACGTAAAGCCAACAATTGATTACATGCAAAATAAAAAGTTATGGTGATTGTGAGAGAATGAGTCTAGTGCATCAACAAACGGTATTTGGATTCCGGTTGGTTTACCCATATGACAGGGATAAATGATTGGTTTGTCAAAATCAATCAACCCACAAAGAACAAAGTGAAATTCATGGATGACACCACTCTAGTGGCCGATGGGATCAATGATGTATTGATAAGGAAGATGGATGATGGAAATTCCTTATTCAAATATGTATTTTACATTCTATGAATCAAATGTAACCTTTTAAATATTGATTAACTGCTTTAGAAGGATTACAAGATTCGTATGAAAGACAAGACATTATGTGTTATGGATGCAAACATGGTTTTGGTCCTTAAAGCTCATATGGTTGTTGTTGTACCCCAAAATTTGCCCTCCCATATTCTTCAAAGTTTATCAAGAATCATCTCCAAATGGTTCAAGATTTCTCAAGGGATTGCACAGTTCAAATGCCTCCTAAGCCATCTGAAATTAGGGTTTTGTTTCTTGCAAGGAATTTGAGGTTTTCTATGGCTCAAACAAGTCTCATGTGCCTATATACATTGTCAAGCATCTACAGGTCAAGTTTCAAGACTCACAGGGTCAAATTGCACAGTCAAAAACTTCATTTGGTTCACAGTCAACTGCAGGGGTAAAATGGTCATTTTGCAGTCAAAAGTCAAATTTTTGGTCAATATCTTATTTTGAGCTCACAATCATCATTTGATCAAGTCTTGATCATGATTCCACAAGCATGGCTCAAAAATCATCAAGATGCCAAAAGTAAATTGACCAGGGCATAACTTTTTCATGGTTCATCAGAAAAATCCCATCCAATGCTCATTTCGAAGGGGATGATATTTCCTACAACTCATCTTCACATTCCAATTCCAATAAATGCTCTCACAAAAAGTTATCAATTTCTACATTATAGGTCAATTTCAAAAGTCAACAAAAAGGCACTTTAAGTCAAAGACCATAACTTGAGATTGGTAAATCCAAATGACATGGGACCAAAGGCATTGGTTAGAGGACTTCAAGACCTTTCCAAAATGTCCAAGAAAATGTTCATAGGATCAAAATTGAGCAAGATATGCATTGGAGAAGTTGGGAAATTTTCATGAATTTGCAAAAGTCAACTTTGCTCAAAACACATCATTTTTGCTAATGGGCCTCAATTCCTTCTTGAAACATTGTCCAAGGCCTATGCACGACCCATTGGGATTATTTTAATTTATTTTCTTATTTTCTATTAATTAATTGGATTTTTTATTAATATTAATTCATTTAATTGATTTAAAATGTAGGAAAATATCAAGATATGTTTTTCTCAATCTTATGTGAAGCAAATAAGCTCAAGACAAGCTGGAGATTTCGTGTGCACATCAAGGGGACCAAAATCTCCCAATTTGGCAAGGTTTTTCAATCAAAAAGATGCAAAAAGATTTGATTGAAAATCAAATATGCAAACCATAATTCCATGGATTCTTGGCCAAGATTGTAACCTAAATCCATTCTATTATAAGTACTGAACCTAACCCTAATGCCTCACACGTGCAAATTGCTGCAAAAAGCCATAACAACATTGGAAAAAAATCTAAAAAAAGTGAAAACTGTTTTTGCAATTCCAGCACAATTCAAAGCTTTCCATTGCTTCTAACACATTGCAGGGATCCCCAGGAACACATTGCAATAAAAAAAAAGCCTTAAAGCTCAAGAAACACGCAAGAACAGATTCACGGTTTACCACTTTTTTCCAAAATCATAATCATTGATTCATGCATATTTAACATCTTTTTGCGATTGTTTTGTGTTCATAGGACTCATACGAAGCTAACGGTGTGATTTAATTGCATTGAAATGCCCTGAAACAGAAATTGCCATGAACGATTTCTAGGTTTTCCAAGCTCTAAAATTGGGGCTTTATTATTTAGGAAAAATTAAGCCTCAAGAGACCTATGGTTAAAACCGTCTGAACAAGACGAAGACACTGTACATATCGCGATGAATTTATACAGCCCCTACGCCTAATCGCTATTTTTTGTCATCCTATTTTGTGGGGGTTAAAAACCCCCGCTATTTGCTTTATTTTGCAGGTGTTCAACGAGGAAGAT